GCCCCCCCGCGGGCAGGACGGAGCGTGTCCAGCGCCCGCAGGGTCCAAGGGTCGCGGTTTGTGCAGGAGGCCGGGACCCTTTGCGAGAGACGGAGCGAGCGCCTGCGGGTTTGTTCCGCCTCTCTTAACGCAGGAATCCTGGAGGCCGTGACCAGGCCCAGAGATTTTGTCTGCTTTAACATTAAGATCTACTAAAATATTTCTTGTTTTTTGCAGATGTGAATTTAGAACTTCCTGGACAGGGATTCAGCAACTCTGTTCCTTAAGAAATCACTCCTGGGTAGCAGCATACCAGGTTAGACTACCATTGGAAATTAGCTAATGAAAATGCACTGAGTAGATAAGCTTTTCATGTCTGCTTGTTCTGAACAGATTGAGTGCATCTCTTTAGAAGTCTGTCTTATGGGGGGGCTACAGCATATGCAGTTGATGTAAGAAACCTGGGCTGGCTTAGTGGGTTTTCTTTGCTTGTTTAATAAACAGAGGAAACTCCTCTCCAGTATCTGGATGCATTTTGTTGCAGTAGTTACTGCTGATGTCTGAACACAGGTAAGGTCATTCAGCTTCTTTTTTTCTTCTAGAGACGCGATGTCTTCTGGAAATGACTGTCAATCCAAGACATTCACCAAACCAGCACTTGGTGAAAAAGAAGCGATTGAATTGGTTGACAGAGTGTTTGGATTAAAAGTGTCTTGGATCAGGCCGCTCCCCAGCTATGAGGATCAGAATTTCCACATGCGCATCTCAAGAAACAAAGGTGCGGGTGAAGGTGCTGATGAGTATGTCCTCAAAATCACTAATTCAGAAGACAGCCAGGAGCCTGACCTCATTGAAGCGCAGACCCGAGCCATGATGTTTCTCAGCACTGAAGGCTTTCCTTCAGCTACTCCTTATCTTACAAAAGATGGTAACATAATGTCTCTGGAGTCAGGAGGTGAGCAAACTGCCCTGCTGTCACCCTTAGCTAAGCAGTAGCTTGCTATATGGCGTGCCATATAGATACTTAAGTAAAACTTGAGGCATATTTTCATTTCTTAGGGGATATGTATCAGCTGACCTGTATTTCCAGCCGTAATAGTCCAAAGGTAAAATATCAGAAGCAAAGTAAGTCAAAGAGAGTAATAATTAACTATTAAAATACTTTAAAAATAACTTCAGTACAACAAATTTGAGGAAACGTTGACCTGACCTGTCCATGCACAAGAAAAGGGAAAAAGAGCCTCATTGAGTGAATGATGTTACAAGTTATTTGCCTACAGAATGGTGTACAATACAGTTCTGGCCCATCTGGAATGCCAGAATAAATTGCTTTAATAGTGCTTGGAAGAAAAATTGTGTTGGCATTTTGCTTTTATTTGCACTGTAACTTCTATACAAAAGCTGGGATTCCTGAGGCCTCCGGTTCTCCTGCAAAACTGTATAAGTGGGCACTCATGGGCACCGAAGGAAACCTGCTGTGTGCAGAGTCAATTCCAAGCACGAGGACTAGAAGTCCAGCATAGATTGCAAATGTGTTAAGGTTTGCACATCACCCTACAACATTCTGGTAAATCATATCTTTGAATTAAACCTGTTTTATCAGCTACATCTGATGATTTCCACACTGGGAAAAACCTTTTTCACCTCTTGCATTAACTAATTTTCAGTAGCACCTATTGAAGTGACTGACTGCACCTCTTTTTGCTTGTTAGATACTGGAGCTGGGAACAAAAAGTACATGGTCAGGCTGCTGACTTACCTGCCGGGTACGCCCGTAGCAAAAATTGCTACAAATACTCACATTTTCTTTGAGATTGGTAAACTGGCTGCCAGTTTGGATAAAGCTCTTTCAGAGGTGAGTTCATGTTGCTCCGGCCTCACAAACTTCTTTCTCAATTGATTTCCCCTCTGTATTTCTTCTTGTGCTTGCTGTCTGCTTTCCTCATCTGCAAAATTCCAGTTGGTGAATGCAGATGTCAGTTTAACTCATTGGTCAGGTGCCAGCCTCTCAGCTGGCTGTTACTAAAGCATTTCTCCAAGTGATATGACCAGTTGGTGCTTGTGACATGGTGCTGGTGATCCTCTTGCAATGCGTTTTTATACCATGAACAGGGATATAAGGATTTCTTTACACTTACGCAAAACTCACTTGTTTGGTGTTTCAAACCTGGCAGATCAGGAGAGTGAACCCTAGGGTGCTCAAATTAGAAGCATGTAAAGCTTCTTTTAAAGCATTTTTATATAGTGCACATCAGATAGAGCTGTCTGATGGATTGTTCTGAATTCATTTTGGCTTGCTCTCTTTCTCCTGGTCATTAGAACTGTGACTGTTTAACGCTGGTAGTGGTTGGTTCCTTCTCTGCAATGCCAGCTGCGCTCGTGAACAGAGATCTGTGACACTTTTCTCATTTGCACAGCTTCCAGTCAAGTAATCTTAATGCAAAGTAGGTTCTTTCTTTACTCTGTAGTTATACAAGATAATAAAGCTGATAAATCAGACAGTAATTAAGTTTGATACATAAAAGAACTCTGGTGTTATTTATTGCCTTTCATTAACCTTTCCTTCTCATGTTCTGGCTGCTGGCTTCAGACAATTATGAAATGTGAATTGCCAGTTTTATAACCACATTCTTAAATTACAAGAACATTTTTCAGTTGGGGAGGATAATTTACTGCTGCCTTCCAACACTCTGGTCATGCTCTTATAATGCGATTAAAATAATTTATATAGACCAGCTAGTCTCTAAATATGCCTGTGACTTGTCCTACCGAGGAAGAAATAGCTGATGAGAAAGCAAATTTTGATTGAAAAGGTTCTTTATACCCTGAACATATGGATTATAGCCTACTACAGTTTGTCATTTAAAAGAAATAAAATTACAATCATTACTGTCAAAACTTCAAAATGTCAGTGACACTAAAAATGATACCTAAGGTGTTACGTTTTCTGATGACAGATCAGGAAATACAGCCTGTCTTTTCTACCCAGTTGATTTGCTTTGTCAGCTTGATGGCAAAGCAACGTGCCGTGCTCTGTTTTGTGTACCAAACAGTATTCCACCACTTTCTCTGTTGGTGTCTCCTTTTGCTTGGATGTGGATGTGGAAATAATTTTTGTCTGTAAAATGACTGGTTTGGGCTTTACAGTAACAAGGGCTCATAGCGTTTTATTAACCATTCACACACCTGGTATCCCATTTACAGCTTGCTGGAATACCTGGTCTGTGCTGGGAAGATTGCAGTGGTTGCTTACCAGCTGGCACTCTTCCTACCAGTGTGGTGCTTTGTACAGCATTAGGGATCCTGCATTGGCATTTTTGATTTAGGCTTCATCTCATCCCTTACTTTTCTTATACGGTTCCAGTTTTGACTATCATTTATGTATCTGTAAGAACCTTAATTACAAGCATGGGTTTCTTTTTAAGAGAAAACCAGCTACTCTAGTGGGAAGGATTTTTTATTTGCCCTGTACTCTGATAGAATCTGGCCCACAGGCCACCTCAATAGGCGTTAGATGAGTCCAGGAAAAGAGTGTATGCGGTGGGAGAGATACTTTTCCTCTATGAATGTCACTTTCCAAACCACCTTTTTCAATTGCTAGTGAGAGAGAGGTTAGGGACCTTGTTTAAAATATTTAGGCTACCTGGATGTACAAAGGCACATTTTTGTAAGTATAAAGCTTTGTCCAGTACCTCCATAGAGTACTTCTGTCCTCAGGATTTTTCATGTACCAGCTGATCCTAAGGCTTGTCCCCAGAAGCTGCCACCTTTAAATGCACAGTGTGCCTGCTCCTGGCACGCTGTCAGGTTTTGTGTCTCTTCTGCTCCGACAGCTTGCTCTAGCACCAGCTGTGCAATCCAGCCTCTGCCAGTGCAGGGGTCCAGCCTTGGCAAGGCCTTGAAGTTGCTGTGTAATGGCACATTACAGAAAGTCAGTATAAATTTTAAATTATTTCAGTGATTAATAACTTAAGATAATCTTTGTACTTAAAGAATGGGGAAAAAACCCATTTGGGTTGTACGTAGATACTTAGATGCTTGCCTTAATCATTCTTCAGGTTATTGTTTTACTTGTTGATATAAAGCAATAGCCAAAGCCACGCTGCTTTTCAGTGAATTCATTAGGAACTTGTTAAGTTAATAGGGGCTTTGAATCAAGCCCTTTAATAATAAAAACCGTATTTTTACTTCTGGCATATTTTATCTTTTGCTTTTTCCAAAGAAATTCCATCATCCATCAGTAAAAAGTCTGCATCGAGGTCAGTTCATTTGGAACCTGGCGAATGTTCCCCTTCTAGATCAGTACGTTTATGCCTTGGGCCAGAACAAATATCGAGAAGTTGTGGAGCAAGTTATCGAGCTGTTTAAAGGGAAAGTAATACCCAAGCTAAGCAGTTTTCGAGCCTGTGAGTATTTTATTATCGCTGTAACTATGTTGAACTGAGACACTGAAATTTCTTACAGGAGTTTGGGTCTGCAAAGGCAAAAAAAGCAAAACCACAAGTCTCCTTTAGCTATACCCATACCTGTGCAAATATTGCGCTGAATGAACACAGCGCAGAATAAGCCAGTGGCAGTGTGCTGTCCAGAGTCAGGTTCGGTTCCTCTGCGCATCTTTTCAAAGCTGTTTCACTGGGAAAGGGGGAAAAAAAAAAAAGCTAGATTCTGCTGTTTAATAATTATTAAATACTGTTTCTATTTCTTCTGTGTTTAGGTCTCAATCACGGAGATATTAATGACCACAACATTCTCGTAGAGCCCAGTTCTGCTTCCCTGGAGAATCCTCAGTACCGGGTGTCTGGCATCCTGGACTTTAGTGACATGAGTTATGGGTATTTTGTGTTTGAAGTTGCCATAGCTATTATGTACATGATGATTGAGAGTCCTGATCCCCTGCGTGTTGGGGGGCACGTTCTGGCAGGGTTTGAGAGCGTCCTGCCCCTCACTGAGGAGGAGAGAGGTGCCCTCTTCCTCTTGGTGAGCGGGAGGTTCGCCCAGTCCCTCGTCATAGCAGCCCACATGGCCCTGCTGTACCCGGAGAACGAGGAGTACCTCACGATCACCGCCAAAACCGGCTGGAAACACTTAATGACAATGTTTGAGCTCGGCCAAGAAGCTGTAGAGAGGATATGGTTTGAGACTGCCCAAGCATATCCCAGCCACCCCCCGGCCCGGGCGAGCAGCGGCTGCTGAGGTATTTGCGCGGGAAACCTGACTGGCAATAAAGGCGGGCTGCCTGCGCTCGAGGCCTCCTCTGCCCTCTGCGCGCGCGCGGGG